CGGATATTTTGGTCAATTTGTTTGGTTAACGTTATATGAAATCATTGGGTTTTATTTCGTTTATTTTCTATAATTTTTTATATTGTAATGACAATTAGTTTAGAGAATCCTTAAAAGTGTCATCTTTAAACATCTGTAAAAAATTTTTTGCAAAATATTTTATAAGCTTTAGAAAAATTTTCGAATCGAATCGAATATTCGACGAATCGAAATGAATAATGATTTTATTATTCGTACGAATATGAATAGGGCAATTATTCGATTCGATTCGTTTTATTGTAGGCCTAATTGCAAGCTGATATAGTGAAAATATAATTTATATGTATTAATCTAATCTTATGATAATATTATGATTAAAATAGTATTCATTTAATAAAAATTTAGATAGTCTTATTAATTTTTAAATAATAAAATTAAATCTATATATTACTTAATAGAATTATAAAAGAAATCGTTCAGGGTGCAATCAAAAAAAATTTATTTTTAGTTCAAGGGGATATTAAGGAGCCATTAATTTTTTTTTTGTTTCAGAGAACTATTATAATATTTCAGGGGGCTCGAACCCCTGCGCGCCCCTCCCTAGTGACGCCACTGTATTATAGGTCTATTTTTTAATATATATATTTAAATTGTATGCTCATATGAAATAAAATAAATTTTGCTTTCAAATATTTTTATTTATAATATAAAAAAGGGTTAATGATGCTTACTACCTTAAGGTACTACCTATCAAATTTGAATTTTGTTTATTTTTCATTTGAATAGGCACTATAAAATATATTTATAATATATATTTGAAAAATCATGATTTTTAGAAAGCCTCTATGGCCTAGTAGGCAAGAGCTTCGCTTACTGATCCCATGGTCACGGGTTAGAATCCCGGGAATGGTCATGTTTTTTTTCTTAATCTAACTTGGTGGTTCCATCCTTAGGGGGATGATATAGAGGAGGCCGGACTCGACCACGTGTTTCCGTTATAATATATCAAATAATAAGGGTCTTATTACATTTTAATAAATTTTGGTCGGTATTTAGCAAATTAGGTTGGTATTAGAATATTAGCATACATTCATTTGGTAGTAAGCATCATTAACCATAAAAAAGCTTTAAATAAAAGTATATCAAAATGTATCTTATAAAGTATCTAAAAACAGATACCTCGAAAAAAATCTATACAGATAATGATACCACATTTTTATATCTAGATACTTTAACAACTTAGCTAGGCACAATATTATTTTTTTGGGTGTAACTAAACTTAGAATTGACAGGTAAACTGCGAATGGACAGGTAAACTAAGAATAGACAGGTATAATTTATTTATGGCCAATCAAATATTTTAAAAATATAAATAATGTATTTGTATTATGTAAATCAAATTTATCCAAAATTAAAATTATCTAAATAAATAAAATAGAACATGGAAGAAAGAGTAGTCCATAAATTTAAAAAATGTATAGAACAGATATGTTACATAGAAAATATACACCCATAATAAATTTTAAAAATCATAAATATAATTCCGTTAGATGGTGTAATTAGACTAAAAATTTAGTTTTTAATTAAAAAAAATATGAATTATATGAGCATAATTTTACTTTGGATTAATTTATTTGGTACAAGTTATATAATAATAAAATGAAAAATATTTTAAGTTTCCATGATTATTTTTTGAGTTATGATGTCAATTCTCAGTTTAGTCAATTTTTTAGATTTTTGGGATTTTAAAAATATTTTATTTTTTTGACTCATTCTGTGTAAACTTACTCATATAAACATAAAATGGAAAAAAATTTTAAGTTTCCGTCATTATTTTTTTAATTATGATGTCAATTCTCAGTTTAGTCAAAATTTTTAGATTTTTTGGATTTTAATAATATTTTATTCTTTTGACTCATTTTGAATAAACTTACTCATATAAAAATAAAATGAAAAAAATTTTAAGTTTCCTTCATTATTTTTTAAGTTATGTTGTCAATTCTCAGTTTAGTCAAAAAATTTTAGATTTTTTGGATTTTAAAAATATTTTATTTGTTTGACTCATTTTGTGTAAACTTACTCATATAAACATAAAATGAAAAAAATTTTAAGTTTCCGTCATTATTTTTTGAGTTATGATGTCAATTCTCAGTTTAGTCAAAAAATTTTAGATTTTTGGGATTTTAAAAATATTTTATTTTTTTGACTGATTTTGTGTAAACTTACTCATATAAACATAAAATGAAAAATTTTTTAAGTTTCCTTCTTTTTTTGAGTGATGTCAATTCTCAGTTTAGTCAAAAAATTTTAGATTTTTGGGATTTTAAAAATATTTTATTTTTTTGACTGATTTTCTGTAAACTTACTCATTAAAATGAAAAAAATTTAAGTTTCCTTCATTATTTTTTGAGTTATGATGTCAATTCTCAGTTTAGTCAAAAAATTTTAGATTTTTGGGATTTTAAAAATATTTTATTTTTTTGACTAATTTTGTGTAAACTTACTCATATAAACATAAAATGAAAAAATTTTTAAGTTTCCTTCATTTTGAGTGATGTCAATTCTCAGATTAGTCAAAAAATTTTAGATTTTTGGGATTTTAAAAATATTTTATTTTTTTGACTCATTTTCTATAAACTTACTCATATAAACATAAAATGAAAAAAATTTAAGTTTCCTTCATTATTTTTTGAGTTATGATGTCAATTCTCAGTTTAATCAAAAAATTTTAGATTCCAAATCTTTAAATATAGAAATTAATTTTTATAAATATTCAAAAAAAAAGATAGATCTTATATTCTATCAATAAAATAAAATATTTACGTAAAAAATTCAATATAAAATTGATAAATTTAAAAATATTTCCAAAGGCCGATTCAACCTAGCCTTAATTTTTTAAAAATGTTTTGCTGGCCAGGCCCAAATCTTTAAATATAGAAATTAATTTTTATTATTCAAAATAAAAGATATATCTTATATGCTATAAATAAAATATTTAATTCAATATAAAATTGATAAATTTAAAAATATTTCCAAGGCCCACCCAACCTAGCATTAAATTAGTAAAATAAAAAAAAATTTTAGTTTATAAATTGAGAATATAATATATGAATAAATAATAGTTTTTTTTACCTTTATATATATTCTATTGAGATAAATCATTAAAATAATATAATAACTTTTCCCATATCTGTAAACAACATTTTTACAATGGTGAATAAAATATTATATAAGATATTTCGAGTACCATTTTATGTAATGTAATATACATTACATATTTACTAATTTTATAAAAATAATCATCTTTTTAAAACTTTGAAATTCTTACTTGAAGTCCTACTTCCGTTTAATTTATCAACTAAATTTATTTAAAAATCTGCCACAGGTGTGCAACATAATTATGTAAGTCGTTTAATCTAAACTAAATTAATAATTAAATTTGACCGGAACCAGATTCATACAAAAACATTTGTAGGTATGAAGAAAAAAAATAAATTGTTCGATCCTTCATATCCTAATTTTTCCAAGATACAAAATATTAAAAAAATGAGTGAATAAGAAGTTTGGAATATGATATAAGTAACATTTAAGCTGTAAACATTTTTAAAAAATAAAGATTTCGTTAGCCTTAGTCTTCTATTAAAACGATTGTTAGACTTATTTATTAGAAAAATACCCAATAGTCTTTTTTAAAACCAATGAATACCAAACGGCCCTTTTAAGGGCCCCTAAATTTTAACTTAAGTAAAGTAGTTTTCCGATTCAATAACAACTATATATTATTGCATTTATTTATGAGTCAAAAAAATAAAATATTTTTAAAATCCCAAAAATCTTAAATTTTTTGACTAAACTGAGAATTGACATCATAACTCTAAAAATAATGAAGGAAACTTAAAATTTTTTTCATTTTATGTTTATATGAGTAAGTTTACACAAAATGAGTCAAAAAATAAAATATTTTTAAAATCCCAAAATTCTAAATTTTTTTGACTAAACTGAGAATTGACATCACAACTCAAAATATAATGAAGGATACTTAAAATTTTTTTCATTTTATGTTTAAATGAGTAAGTTTACACAAAATGAGTCAAAAATATATAATATTTATAAAATCCCAAAATTCTAAAATTTTTTGACTAAATTGAGAATTGACATCATAACTCACAAATTAATGACGGAAACTTAATTTTTTTTTCATTTTATGTTTATATAAGTAAGTTTACACAAAATGAATCAAAAAAATAAAATATTTTTAAAATCAAAAAAATCTAAAAATTTTGACTAAATTGAGAATTGACATCATAACTCAAAAAATAATGAAGGAAACTTAAAATTTTTTTCATTTTATGTTTATATGAGTAAGTTTACATAAAATGAGTCAAAAAATAAAATATTTTTAAAATCCCAAAAATCTAAAATTTTTTGACTAAACTGAGAATTGACATCATAACTCAAAAAATAATGACGGAAACTTAAAATTTTTTTCTTTTTATGTTTATATGAGTAAGTTTACACAAAATGAGTCAAAAATAAAATCCAAAAAATCAGAAATTTTTTGACTAAACTGAGAATTGATATCATAACTCCAAAAATAATGAGGAAACTTAAAATTTTTTTCATTTTATGATTATATAGCTTGTACCAAATAAATCAATCCTAGGTAAAGAATTATGCTCATATAATTCATATTTTTTATTAATTAAAAACTTAAGTTTTAATATATTACGCAATCTAACGGAAAAATATTTATGATTTTTAAAATATATTATTGATGTTATAATTTCTATGTAACATATTTGTTCTATACATATTTTAAATTTATGGACTACAATTTCTTCTATATTCTATTTTATTTATTTAGAAAAAAATAATTATATATAAATTTGATTTACATAATAAAAACATTTTATTTATAATTTTTTGATAGGATATAAAATAAAAATAAATTTTACCCGTCAATTCTCAGTTTACCTGTCCATTTTCAGTTTACCTGTCAATTCTCAGTTTAGTTACACAGTATTTTTTTGTTGAATTTCAAAAAATTGTAATGGAAAGTGATACAAACTATTGTTCAGCACGCAGCATATATAAACGTATATCAAAAGTAATTATTAGTTATGTTCGTAATCTATGTTATGAATAAAATAGCAGGCTAAATTAAACAAGAAAACTAAAAAATATAATTTAATAGAAAAATTTAACACTGATAAGCAAATTGTTGACACAGGTTTATATATGTATAATATTATAATATAATTATCTGATATAAATTTTAAAGTATTTGAAGATTTTAACTATGAAAATGATAATATTAAATCTAAAGCATTAAATTTGAATTACACTTTAGATGAAGAATATAAAGTATTATATTCTAAGCTATCATACTTATTTTATTTTTAACAGCCATACCTATCATACAAATCCCTTCTCCTATATAAAGATAGTAGAAATTTAGCTTTAAAGGCTTTTGAATGGTTAATTTTTCCCATTAAATTTGATGTATTTATTAAGTAAACATTATTTTCATTTGATATTCATATAAATAATTTATAGTGAGTTTTGGGAGAAGAAACCTCTTTTAGTAAAAAGAAACAAATTTGATTATTATAATGAACTTTTTTCATTGTGTGAATTTGATATAATTCTAAGAAAGGTTACCTTATAATATATTATCATCAAATATAAATGTTTTGCTTATTAGGAGTTTCTATCTTTTACAGAAAATATTGACTTAACTACTTATAATGATGGGATTAAGGAAATACATAATCCAATTGGTAGAGCCTATTCTCCAATAGTCTGGGATTATTATAATGTAAGAAATCACTAATTAATAAATTATGTGAACATTCAATAATTTTTAACAATATTAAAACCTATAAAATTAATGGTTGTTATTGAGAGTTGCTAGATAAATATAAATTTAAAATTAAGATATTTGATGTTTATATTTGCATTGCTCATTATTTTTTCACCATAATCAAATATTTGCCAAAAAAAAATTGATTTGATACTTACACTGATTTATAACTTTTTATCTTACTTATTTTATGAATATGGTTACTTATCTATTACTTAACTTTAGGCATTAGCATAAAATTTTTAAAAATTTTGTACTTAATTCTTTGCTTGGCCTGAATAATATAATTTTTACAAGTTGTCTAGCCTGGCCAACAGTGTTTATATAGACAGGAATTATCCAAGGAAGGGGGGGGTTACAAAAATTTTCTGGGAACTTTGCCTCAAACTGCTATGTTCCAGCCTTCAACTGGCTCATATCTCTTAAAAAGTCCAATTGAATATTTTTGATTTTTCTGTGATTATTATGCCATTTAATATGTAAATTATTCTATAATCTCTATTATTCAAATATTTATCACTTCTGCTAAGTTATACTAATAATTGGAGGCATTCATTTTAAAATCTATACCAATGTTTTACACTTTATTTGGAAAGCCTATGAGGTTAATTAGTATAATGGGAGGAAAAATAGTCACAAAATTTTTTCTAAACTTAAGATTAAAAATAGTATCTGAGGTATTTATTCTGAAAATTTTTTCAATATTGCTAATTGAATATTATTTAATCCATTTGGTGGAAGTATAAAAAGAAAAGTTATTGACGAAATGAGAAAATAATTGGAATTAGATTTTTCCTTATCTGATGATGGATAAATTAAAAATTAAACCTATCTTATGAGGTGTGAATTAGAAATTTATATTTATTTTGATGAGTCTTTATTCTAAAATTATTATCATTTTTATAAAATATTTAAATGAAGTTATAAGTGTCTTCAATATAAATAAATAATTGGAACATGTGAATATACTTTCTTCATTATATCTGTTTTTTAATATATGTGAATAAATTGTATTTATGTACATAATAAAAATATTTTTAACTACATTTTTATTCATTTGTATTTGTGATTTAAGACCTAAAATATTTAATATAGATGAGTTTTGCATAACTTTTATATGATTTAATACTTCCTCATAAAACCCTTATCTGGAAAAATAATATTTTTATAAATTACAAATAAAAATGTATAAAAACTTAGTTAAATTTTTTTTTTATTGTGCACATAAATTAAATGTACAAAAACACTCATTAATAAAAATAAATTCAGAATAACTTCAGGAAAATAAGGGCAAATTTCTGATTCAGGCCTCATAAAATAGAAAAATTTCTGATTCATCCATTATCAATTAAAGAAATTCTGATTCACTAGTCATTAATGTTGTTAATAATTCCTATTTGCATCCATTTAAAAAAACAGACCGATTAGGATTTTATCCAAGATGATATCATGTAAGATGGAAATTTTACTCATAGTATGCAAGAACCTATATTTGTCAAATCTTGAGGTTTTAATATTATTCTGGCTAAAATTTTAATCCGGTCGTTTTCTTTTTAACAACACTACCAATCTATTTTGATGAGCCTTATGAATAAAGGTAAATATCTGATTAACACCTTGTAAGATAGGCTCATTTTCGGTTTATCCATTATCAAATAAATGAAAAATTTATGACTTCCTGTCATTTTTGATGGGTTTGTCAGTTCCTTTTCCTAAATTATGATTTTTCTTTTCCTAAATTATGATTTTTCTTTTCCTAAATTATGATTTTTCTTTTCCTAAATTATGATTTACCTTAAAAAAATTAAAATATTTTTGCGTTCATTAAGAATTTTAAGGCCAAAAATAACTTATATATAATCCATTTTTTAATTTATATTTTTCCTGAGACACCAAATAATGAAGTTGGAAAAAATGATTGTTAATAACGTTTATAATTTAGTTTTCATAATAAATTTTTTTGGGAAATTTGTTTATAATAAATTATAACGCAATTTATAAATAACTTGTATCTTTGATAACAGGTTCTTAAAAGATTACTAAAATATACGTAAATTTAAGGTATGTCACATTAGGTGTAAATTTTTTTATTTATGCTAAAATAATATGGATTAATAGTTTCTCCATATATTTCATATTATATAAGATATGTTTTTCTAATTTGATAGAACAAAATATCTTACTATAATCATTATAGCTATACTTAACACACGTCCTCCTTTAAGATGACATGACCTCTTTTGAGATGCCTAAAAATATGTCCAGTATCTATTTTGATTTTATTTTAATTTATCCTCTTTTTTAAAATAAATTATTTTTTATATATTTTTATTTGAAAACTATTTTTACAATTACATCATAATAAGTTTTGATTGTCTATGTTTTTTTTATGTATCTCATCCAAGCTTGTTGATCGAATCACGATCTTTTGAAAAAAAGAGGATCGAAATCCAGGATCGACCTTTTTTTTAAAAAAGGATCGCGATCACGATCCTTTCTTATTTAAATTTCTCACCGATGCAATTAACTAATATAAAAAATAAATAAATATGGTATAAATTTATTATAATTGAATAATATAATATAAGTATAACAATCTAATATATATAATCTCCATAAACATAAGACGATCGTTTTCGTATCTCCCTAATGTATTTTAAATTTAAGGAGACTATATAGTGTAATGTTAATTTTTTGCTCTCTACGAGAATCGAACTAGAGCCTCCCGTTTCAAAGGCATATGCTTTACCGCATGCACCAACTTGAATTTGAATAAATTTAAAATATTAATTATATATATATTAAAGTTTCACGCAGGCACCAATTTGAAGATATTTAAAATATTAATTATATAGATGTCGAAGGGTAATTATTTAGTTTGTGTATATGGTATTAAATATACTTTATTAATAAATTTTATATAAATATTATAATTTAAGTGTAAAAGAGCTAAAATTGTTATGTATACTGTGAGCATGTATTAGAAATATCAAAATTTAAAAATGTGATTTAAATTATATTGAATAAAATTTAAAATAGAGGTGCTTTAAGATTTTTGAATTTTATATGGGTTACAGATTGGTCTGAATTTTTTTTTGCAGACATAACCAGGCCTGATTAAAAAACCATGGGTTGAAGGGTAATTATTTAGTTTGTGTGTATGGTATTAAATATACTTTATTAATAAATTTTATATAAATATTAAAATATAAGAGTAAAAAAGGTAAAATTGTTGCAATGTATACTGTGAGCATATATTAGAAATATCAAAATTTAAAAATCTGATGGAAATCATATTGGATAAAATTTAAAATAGAGGTGCTCTAAGATTTTTGAATTTTAAATATGGGTTATAGATTGGTCTGAAATTTTTTTTGCAGACATGGCAAGGCCTGATCAACCAAGGCCCATGCAACTTTCATATTCTGATTGTATTTTTAAATGCATTGTGACTTTTTATATATTATGTAAGTCCTCAACTATCAAAATTATTATGGTCTTTTGCGGGTTTGAGAAAACGAAGTGCGAGGACCTGGCTTGGGAATTTTTAATATTAGGCATAGGTGTAATATTTAACACCGAATATTTAAATGGCCCTCAGGTAAAATCTAATTTAAATATATTTTTATTCAAAAAAATAGTATTCACTCTTAGTCTTAATGGCTTGACCTTGGTTGGGGTGAGCTGGGTTAAAATAGACTGAAATATCTCCAGGCTTGGAAAAAAATTTAAATTACTCTCAGTGGCCAGGTTTGAGAAATTTTTTTATAAAATTATTATGGGTTGGGCTGGGCTTGGGAAATATTTTTATAAATTATATTGGGATGGGCTTGGGGATAATTTTTCAAAATTATTATGAGCTTGGACGCTTGAGAATTTATTTATTATTAATTATAGGTCAGACATTGGCCCAAAACAAATTTTTTTGCAGGCCTGGGCTTTGACCTGATCAAAAAACCAAGGCCCATGAAAATCTGAATTTGATTTTTTAAAAATTCTTTATGATTATTAAAATATTTTATTTCAGTTCTTAACTACCAAAATTATTATGATCTTTCATTGGGCTTGGAAGAATTTTTCATAATTAATATGGCTTTGGACTTTGCCTGGGAATTTTTTTGAATATTAAATATTAGGTATAAGTAATCAGTAATATTTAACAAATAATATTGGTATTATCAAGTAAATGCTTTAAATTTATTTTTACTCAAACCCATAGCACTTAGTTTTAATGGATTAAACCTGGCCTGAAGGGATGAGGGGGTAAGAAGAATAAAAATTGGATATTATTTTCAAATAACAGGTAACATGCATAAAAGTAAGAAGAAAATTCATTACCCGTCATTTTTGACGGGCTATCTACTAGTTAGGATATATTTATTTATAATTAAATTAGCCTTTAATAATAAAAATTTTTCTAAATTTTAATCATTTAAACAACCACGTTTTTCATTAAGTACATGTTTAGCTTTACTAAACAACCATAGGAGCGCTTGATGGTAAAGGTGTGTTATATTCAATAAATGTTTTTTTTTTAATTAACATAATTATTAAAAATATTTATGAATCATCATTAGAATAAAAAGAGTTATTAATTGAAAGAGCATTTTGTGACGAGTTTTTCCCAAAAAAGGTATCGATCCATGCATTCATTTGAAGGATCTGCATATAGTCGACCCTGTATATTATAATGGGCAATTCACCTTTCTTTTAGCAAAAAATTTTGTGGCAGATTAATAAAATACCAATTGAGATTAAATTTTGGGTATTATTGATGTCAATATATTACTGTCATCATATGGTGAAGAAAATCTATAATTTTTATTATATGCATGTTGTTATGATCTTCACAAATAATAAAAATTGTATTTTTAAAAGAATTAATTACTTCTAAATGCCTCTTTAGGTTTGAACTGCTAATCTTTGAAGAAGATATTTTGTTTTTGCATAAAGAGCATTTTGCATAGATCAAGTAATAGTTACTTCCATGCATTTCACATAAAGTAAAATACTTACGTAAATTAGGAATTGGTAAAAGATTCTCATTCTCACTTATATCTGCTGTCCCATCAATAGAAGTAGATGTATCATCTTCTAAATCTATATGGAGGACATTATAAAACCAGAATTTATATTATAACTAGTTGATAACCCGTCAAGAATGACGGGAATAATAAAATCTTGAACTATATATGAATTTTTTTTAAATACATTTTTTAGTATAAAATAAATGACAAATTTTAGTGATTATTTATTCATTTTATTAAATTTAGCGTAAAATATATGAAATTGTAAATGTAGTGTAGATATTGATAAATTGGTATTGTATGTCATTTCCAAAGTTCAAATATTGTTGTTGAGATAAAATTTTTATACTGGCATAGGGGTGGTAATATGATATAATTGTATTGGTTAAATATAATTTAAATTTATTTGTTAAATCTAAATTATAATAAATATTTCAGATTAGTGAGGGAGGTTAATTTTCTGGCATGGGAAGATATTGATAAATAGGTATTTTATACTATTTGCAGAGCTCCCATATTGTGGTTGAGATAAAAAAAAATTTTCTGCCATATTTTGGGGTGGTAAATAATTTAAATTTGTTTGTTAAATCTAAATTGTAATATAAAAATAATTTATAAAAATTAATAAATTTTACTTTGATTGAAAATAAATACTTACGCTAAAATTAATATGAGATCAATGTTTATTTTTCAATGGCTAAATATAATTTAATTTACTATTTTAAATTTAATAATATTCATTCTTATAATATGAGGTGAGGATAGTATTCTTTTTAATATAACACAATAAGATCTAAATTATATAAATTAATCGAAAAATATGTTAATAGCAAATTAATAACATATATAAGAAAGATTATATTACAAAATTTAATATAGAAGGTGGTTGAGTGGGAAGAACGTTTGTCTTTAAAACGTTAAGTCATAGGTTCGAATCCCGTGATGAAATTTTCTTAAAATTTAACATTAGAGATATATAGTCTCCATCGATTTATTTAGCATTAAGAAGATAGGAAAGTTGATAGAAATTATACGAAAACGTTCATTTCTTGATTACGGTGATAGATATAATTAATAAATAAATATAATATGTTCTTACAAAAAATTTGGGAAATTGTTGAAATATAATATCTGGTGGAATGGTGGTAGATAAAATATGATGTAGATAGATATTTTTTATTAAATATTTAAATTTAATTTTCAAAATTTTTATTTTATTTATTGCTTTTAAGTAAAAAAAAATAATTTTTAAAAGGATCGGGATCAAATATTTAAAAAAATGATCTTGATCACGATCCACAATTTAAGGTCAGGATCTTAAATCCGAGAAAATTGATAAATTTAGGATCGAATCCAGGATCGGCGATCTTTTGATTCGATCCTTTAACAACTCTGATCTCATCATATACTTTAGTGAATTCGTTGAGATTTTAAATAACTTTCTTTAGATGATTTTCTTTTTCCTTGTGCCCAACAATTTCCTGGAACGTTTGAAGCATTAAAATCGTTCTTTCTTTCAATTATAATCCAACAAATATCATAATTTTTTTTAAAAATGATTTAAAATATCTGTGGTTTACCTATTCCTTTAGGTATGAGTTTGAGGAAGAATTATTAGCTGAAAAAGAAAATAATCCAATTATTGAAATCATAGACCTTCATGAACTTTGATTTATTCATCAGGCGCAGAGGTCATAAGTGAGAGAAAAATTTATAAGCCCAGCCCACATTTAATAAAAAAAACACATCCATCATAAGTTTCATAAATTTTTCCCAATCCCATATCCAAAAATTTAATCTATTGTTTTTAATGAAAATAACAATATTTCAATGTAGTTAGGTAATCATTTGTTATTAAATGCAATATTTTTTTATAGCTAATGTTTTAAGCTAAATTTAAATAAATTTTTTTTAGGCCTAAGCCCATTAAAAAGATTCTTCAAAGACAAAGTTAAAGCTTGATAGGAATATTTTACTAAGCACTCTATGGACCGCAGGCCAGCTCATGAAGGTCTCTGATTAAAATGTTAAACCATTTTAAATCACTAAAATATTTGAAACAAACATTAAAATAGACAAAAAATTTAAACAGATGCGATAAAAGATAATTTATTAAATGTATATAAACATAGCATTTTATATTTTGCTTATTGGTCTGAACCTTTAGAAGAATTGGAATGTCTCCAATGGACGAAAATTAAAAATGGCTCCTATTTAATCGCACAGTTAAAACTGAAACGCTCAGATTAAAAAATGAATCGCTCAGAAATATATATGAAACGCTCAAAACTAGTTACTTAATAGCTCAGAAATATTTTTTCTTATTCTATATTATTATAAACTTTTATTGGCCTCTTCTGGCTCCCATGGACTTCTGCACTCTCTAATTTCAATGACGATATTCATTCCCTGCCCCCCCCCCCCCCCCATTGTCGTAGTCCTTGTCGGTTCCTCAAATAAAAATTACTGATTATGAGGGCTTGTCTTAAAATGCATAGTAATTATTAATATAAAGTTATCATTAGATCTTTATATTAGCTTTTGTAAATTAACAATATTAAAATATTATGTTACAATTTTTTGGCTTCTCCATTGCACCCTGAATAATAGTTATATTTATCCATATACTCCTTTTCGAAATATTATGTTAAAAATTTTTTAATCTCAACGCACTCACCCTAAAGATGTGAAGTAATTAGCATCAATGTAATCAATCGATCTCCTTGTGTCGATATATTATGCTAGGATATTTTCAACCCATTAATGCTACAATATCCACTTTGACCAAGTGATGAGATAATGAATTATTTTTATTAACTTTTATTTGATACCCATGTTGAGATATTATATTATAAAATTTTTACCCCCACCCCCTTTACTACTTTGAAGACATAAAGAGATGAAAATCAGTTTTCACATTTACAATTTCATATGGATTAAATATTTTGTATAATTCCTGACACTTTTGCGTATTTGTTATTTTGCTTTATGGAAATAGCCTCATTTTGGGTAGATTAGTAATTTGGAGGCTCCAATGTTTTAATAATATGATTGTGTAAATAATATGCATTTTAAACTTTATTTTATATGTCTTATGCATTTGTTCAATTTTTTATTGAAATAAAGTTATTTAAAAAAAAATCAGGCGTATTTGCTAGACTCGGATTTGGGGAAAATCTAACCTGACCAACCTATGATAATAAATCCTATGCAGGCCTCTAGCTTCTAGCATATTCTTATCTTCCTTTATTACATTCTTTAATGTGATAGGGCTATGGCAATTTTGTTGTAATATTTGAAAATTCCTTTTACCCCTTCCTCTATTTTTAGAAAATTTTTCACCATGATTATAAACGTTTGTAATAAATAAAATTTGGATTCTTTATAGTTATTTTATTTGTTATATTTTAGTTTGGGTAAAGAAAATTTTCAGTTTTATGGCCATTTTTAAAGTTTGCTCTTTCCCCATTGATTTTAGTAAATTACTTGATCTTGTTTATGATTTCTCAATTAACTGTATTTAAAAGCTACGTAAGTAGAAGCACTAAAACAAAATAAATTTTCACGTTTTATATTAAAATCTCAACTCAAACAATTTATACATTTCTCTTACTAACCCCCACCATTTGACTTAGAGTTGCAACTTATTTCAATTCTCGCCATCTTGAATTTCATTTAAACATTAGAATTGCATAATGTCATATTTCTAATTTGTTTAATTTCGTATTGAGAATTGGGAATTATTATGACTAACCTATAGGTATGCCTTATTAAGATTATCTTTATGTAATTTTATAAAAGATTTCACGATATGAAAATAATAGGTTATGAGCTTTACAATTGGATTTTTTGGTGTGAGATAATTCAATATGAATGACTTTTACATATTCCTTTTCATTCTAACCTTTTCATCAAAAAATTTTATTTTTCGAGTCCTTTTCTTTAAGAATATACTCCTAATACTTTTATCAGATATTAGATGATTAGTTAGATAATATCGCTGTTTTCCAATATCTCACTGAAAAATTTATATTTACTAACTATTATTTTTTTCGATGAAATGATTATTGATGATAAATCTATATTCAATATTATGTTTTCTTAGTTGTTGTGACAATCACACATCTTCAAAATGTTAGGTGCTAATTTTTGAAACTACTTTATTTACCAATATCCTTAATAAATTATTTATCTTTATTAACATAATTTTTTGCCATTAATAAATATGTAGGAAGGATGTTCTGTACGACTCCTAAATCCTCAAAAGTTTAGCGATAATATTTGGAGACTCAACAGTGTTCTCCAAGAATTCTTTTCTTCCATGGTAGGCTGCAATGTGTATTTAACTCCACCTAATAGCCAAGGATTTGCACCTCATTATGACGATATAGATGCATTTGTTATGCAGATTGAAGGCAAAAAGCTATGGAAAGTTTATCATCCATACCCTCACCACAAACCGCAAGGTAAAGAAATTAATAATTCTATGGGTGACATTTGCATCAGTTAAATTATTATCTTTAATTTATTTTATAGATAATTACTTTTTTTATCAGATATTAAATATTATTTTCATTTTTTAAACTCATTTAAATTTAAGACAAGATTGAAAGAGTAAAACATTTGCTGCCTTTATATCCAAGCAATAATTTTTCTGAAAAATCTGATTTTGATGTCCATTTTTGGGCTAATCCTTTAATAAAAACGGTCTTGGAACCTGGGGATTTACTGTACATGCCCAGGGGATTTATTCATCAAGCCTCAACTTTAATAGAACAAGATATTGGCCACATAAACGATATAGAAAGTCGCGAAATATTTTCTTGTGGAAAATCAAGTCAATTTAAATTTCAAGAAATTGATTAATAAATATATAGACGATTAAAACGAGATTTTCGGACTACCGTCTTTAAAATGAACGAAACTTGGCATGATAGTTTTCTATTTTGTATATTTTAGTAAATTCAAAATTTTAGAGTGCTAGTTCAACCAGATCTAAAAATATATGACTTCAAAGTAGAAAATCGCGCAATGCGTGATTTCATTAAATCTTGTTATTTTAAAAAATAATTAAGATAGAGTTTCAAATTATATATCATTTTATAGCCCTTAAAATTTTACGTTGGAAAATATTTTAAAAAATTAAAAAATACAAGTGTTTTCTTATTTCCGGTTAAAATAAAAAATTAACATTGCTAGGATGGGATTTTTTTTGAATGTTGATATTCTCTAAAAATGTTTATTACATTTATATTAAACTATTTAGAAAATTTCTATAGCTATTTTGGTTTTTTTAATTTTATTTGAATTTTTATTATTTATATAAATAAAATAAGATAATATAGATGGCGTTATATACGAAAATTATTATAATATAATATTTTTAATAAAAATATGAATTCTATTGGAATTAAAATTAAAAAATAAATTGAGTACAACTAATATGATGTCCTAGGGCAATGTAAGCAGGCATCCCATACAGATATGATTATAATAAGGACACGATAGTGTAAAATAAACAAATTTTAAAATTTTATATTCAAACTATCATAAAAACACCTCTTATTATTCCATTTTGCGCTTTAATAGAAATTAATGAGTCCATAATTTGTAAATATATCCTTTCACTGTTGTGGATATACTATCATTATTTTTTGACCAATCAATTCAGCAAAAAGCCAAGTAAAATATATTACTGCTCTGATGGATCAGCTGCGAAATATAAAAATTTTTTTTTATAAATCTATGTTATCATCAATCAGATTTTGGTGTAGCAACTGAATTGCATTTTTCAGCTACATCCCATGGATAAGGTCCATGTGACGGCCTTGGCGGAACATTAAAAAGATTAGCAGTAAGTTTAATTCAGCGCAGCAGTTTTGGACACATTTTAACACCATTTGATTTATATTAGTTTGCAAAACAAAACATGTTATCAATAAATTTTACAATATAACCAACGAATAATACACTTTAGAAGAGATTAAACTACGAGAAAGATTCAATTTAGCCCGCTCTATTCCAGGAACATCGGGAAATACATGCTGTATTTCCTTTGAGTTTAAGTAAATTTAAAACAAAAATATATTCATATGCAGAAGACTTTCAAATTAACAATATCTCAAATGCTGATAATTTCTCTTTCCTGTTATTAAAGGATTCGTATCATGTGTTTATGACGATTTTTGGTGGTTAGCCACAGTACTAAAAAAGAATAAAATTACTGAGGAGATATATATTTTCTTTTTACATCCCCATAGACCATCACCATTCTTCTTTTACCCCACAATTGAGGAAAAGATATGGTGCCCATTAATCCAATAATAACATTAGTAGATCGACGTACCTACAAATTATCGCCTCCGGAAATTCTATTAATAAGCTCAAAATGGGATAAGATTAAAACAAGAGGTATCTTTTTTATAATGTTTGTATATATAATTTTAAAATATAGCGTCCTACTTATTACCCCAGGACATCATATTGGAAATTTTAATACCAATATAATACATATTTTTAATAAATATATTATATTATAGCAAATATTTAATATAACGCCATCTATATTTTCTTTTTTATTTATATAAATAATAATTCAAATAAAATTAAAAAAACAAAAATGGGTATCGAGTTTTTTTATTAAATAGTTTAATATAAAGGTAATAAACATTTTTAGAGAATATCAACACCCAAAAAAATCCTCTTAATGTTTATTTTTTATTTTTACCGGAAAAACGTTGGAATTTTTTTTCGATATCGTAAAAATTTAAGGGCTATAAAATGATATATTATTTATAAGTCTATCTTTATATTTTAAAAAAAAACAAGATTTAATGAAATCACGCATTACGCATTTTCGACTTTGAAGGCTTATATCTTTGGATCTGGTTGAGCTAGCGCTCTAAAATTTGACTTTTATTAACTTTTACAACATAAATAATTAAAACATTCCAAGTTTCATTCATTTTTGAGATGATTGTCCGAATCTGGTTGATTTGTCATGGAATAAAACAAATTCAAGTTTTTAAAATTTATACCTTTTATGTTCATCAAGAGAAATCACGGGAAATAAATGGTAACCCCAATAAAAAATTCAAAAAAGAAGCTAAAAATGATTCACAACATTCCTTACATTTAACCTTATCCACTTGTCAAAACAATACATGGGGTCAATTAATCAAAAATGCGTTTGACCTCTCCCTGAAAAGTCTAATGCAAAATAACGTAAAATTCAGGAGATCTTTGCCTCCCAGATACTTACAGTACACGGGATTGCCCTATCGCAATGTTGATTTAAATTTTGATTCCAATAAGTCAAATGGTATAATAAATTTTCTTTCATTTCGTTTAATATTTTTTTCCAATGACTTGATCAATTTATCTGTCACTCACTGTCACCTCTTTGCATTGTATATTTTCCTTTATACTTAATCTTTATGCAATAATAATATTAAATGTATTTGCAAGTTTCATGTGCCTTTTTTATAGGGGGCTCATTTATTAAATATATAAATCAAATTGATTTTTAGAATTAAATTTATTTTATTAAAATAAATAATTAAACACTCATTTAAATTCCTATCTTCAACCAAATAAGTTTTATTTGATTGATGGTTGATCTTTCGAAATAAAATAAATTATTTTGTTTATTTTATATCATCATTTTTAAATTTTTATTTAAAACACTTTTTAAGATCCAAAATGTAACGTTGGCCTCCGAACCAAATTTGTATCCAATTTTCACTCTCTTTGTCAGGATGTTTTGCAAAATATATCACCTGACTTAGCCGTAGATATATTCTCTATTTCCAGTAACGCTGGTTGTTATCTGAGGGATTCATTGCCACCATGTTTAAATATTTATGAAAAAATGGGCTCTATTTTTGACGATTTGGATAACAGCGAGAGTTGCGAAAGAAGTAATTTAAAATTATTTTGATGTGGATAATTTTTCTGGAGATTTCTTAATATTACAATTAAGTGTTAACATTTTTAAATCACCAAATATCACAATCCTAATAGTTATATTATAAAACAATTTATACAGTAATAATTAATTGAAGAATGAGATTTTTTAGAAATGAACAATTGGTATAGCAGAATGGACGATGTTATTCAGTATCTACGATGTATTTCTAGTGGAATTAAGCCTATTTTTTTTAAAATTAATTAGCCCCCTTTTCAAATTTTTTTTTACTATTTTTTTCAAAAGTGTTAAATTTGAACCCCCTTTCCCTTTATTATTGTTATAATAATTAATATTTTTACACACTCAAAAATCTTTTTCATATTTTTTTTATAGCCTAAAGGAGCAAAAGTATTATTAATATTTTTGAATTTGCTTTATTTAAAGTTTAGAGTGAAGTTAACTATCATCAAGTACTGGTGATAAATAGCTCTATTTTTATCAGATTTTGAGCCAACTCTAATAAGGCATAACCCATTTTTTAAACGAAAACTATTATCTTAGCCTCAATCGAGGTTTAAACTTAAACGATAGCTCAACTTAAAAATAGCAATTTTTTACGACTGCTCTAGCCTATTTAGTAAAAAGGGCAAGAAATAGTCCAAATTTAAATTCTTTTAAATGTTTAAATGGAAATTTGCAAATGTATAGGTTGTTAGGATTAATCAATATACTTTGAAAGATATAATAAATTGGGATATTTTTTGTCAGGCTCTTCGGTTTACTTTTGCCAATGAACCATTTTTTTTATTGATTGATAAAAAATAAATTACTAGGAACATGTTGACAATGTTAATGTATACAGCATCTACATGCCCGGAAATATGTTCAAAGCAAGCTCCTTTCAAAATCTACCTCTAACCCATTAATTTTTTTTTACTCATTATGTTATAACAACCTCATGATATTAATTTATTCCTGAACCCTGTGGATACTTTATCCTGCAATACTGTGGTGTTTAAAAGGGATTTTTATCTTATGATTTTGATCAAGGTATATCATCGAGTGTTAAGAAAAAATATTTTGTCAAATTTAATGTTAATAAATATTATTGAACCTTCGACATTGGAATGGATTTCGATCCCCCTTAAAAAAAATCCCCTCAAAAACTAACTCTTAAATTAAAATCCCCTCAAAAACTAAAGCTTAAAATAAAATCCCCTCAAAAACTAACCCTTAAAATAAAATCTTCTCAAATATAAAATCTTAAACTGAAATCCCCTCAAAAATAAAACCTTAAACTAAAATCCCCTCAAAAATAAACTCTTAAATCAAAATTCCCTTAAATACTAAATTTTAAAAATAAATTCCCTTAAATACTAACCTTAAATTAAAATCCCCTCAAAAATAAACCTTTAAAATAAAATCCCCTTAAAAATAAACCTTCAAAATAAAATCAAAAACTAAAATCCCTCAAAAACTAACCCTTAAAATATAATCACCACAAAAATAAACCCTTAAATTAAAATGACCTTAAAATAAACTTTTATCCAAAATAAACCCTTAGACCAAAATCCCTTCAAATACTAAACCTTAAAATAAAATCCCCTCAAATTCTAAAATTTTGAATCCGCTCAAAATAAAACCCTAGAACCAATATCTCCTCAAAAATATCTTAAAATAACCCCCCCCCCCCCACCAAAACCTTTACAATAAACCCCTAAAATAAAATTATTCATAAAACTGACCTTTAGACTAAAATCGCTCAAAAACTAACCCTTAAAATATAATCCTGTTGTTTTCTGGATTTCGTTATTTTTATGAGTCGTGTGTGTGTTAGAGAAGGACTACGAGGTTGGGAATAATTGATTTATTTAAAGATAATATATAATGAATTTAATTAATGTAAAATACAATCGATTAATGAAATTAATTTAAATTAACAATTTCGTATATAAGAAAAAATATCATTTTTCTTTTCTGATTTTTTTCTTCTTTATATATATCTATGCATAAAATATAATCTTTTCAATTTGAATAATAATATTACAAAATATAATTTCTATACTTGTTCATATAACAATTCCTAAAATATAATACATTTCTTAATTTTGAATAATCATATATGCTTGAACTTATCTCTTATCCAATATATTTTCTTTTTTGCTTAAATATTAAAAATAATCATTTGCATAATACAACAGTTATAATATTCGGAGGAATTATAAAAATCAGGTTTATTTTATCAAAGAATCCCATGATATATTTAAATAAATTCATGAACCAAGTTTATTTTATTAAAGAATCAAATTTATTTTTCACTGAAAATATAAATAAAATATTTAATCTAAATTATCACCGAAGGTAACAAAATGACCTTTCGAAATAAATTGTAACTTGTATAATGTCATTAACAATTAGAATTTGTATAGTTTAATGTCATTAACAAAAAAAGAAAAACAATTTAAAATTTGAAGAATGTCATTACCAAAACAAAAAAAAAACAAATAGTTTAAAGGAGAATAAAAATAAACAATTATAACTACTTAACATTTCACTCTTTTTTTAAAAAGTTTTTGCCCTCTATCTATCATCTTATCGTTTGTCTTGTTTACCGGTTTCTTCATCATTTGTTGTTCGTTTGTCCTTTGTTGATCTTGATAGTTATCATTAGTCATCACTAGTATATTTCATTAGTTTTCACCCACAAAAAAAATCTTGTTTATAAGCTATTGAAAATTTATTTTAAATTTAAAAATTCTTTATAATGAAATATATTTTATTATTTATTACATATTTTTTTTTAAAATCTATTTTTATATTCTGAAGAGACTGTGCTTCAGTAAAGGGTTGAACGGTAGGGAGTTCGTCTAGCTGGGATCTTGTAAGAGGCATTTAAATTATTTAAATAATTTACTCGTAACTTTAATTTAACGTTTAATCTTATTTAAATAAAAGTTATAAAAATAATTTTTCAAAAGAAAGTATTTTGTTAAAACTAAAATAAAAAAGTGTATATCCAAATTACAAATTAATCGTGAAAATAATTATTTTAACACAAAAAAATAAAGTATATCTTTAAGAATAAAAATATGTCCCTTTTATAGGGAAAATAAAACTTGCAATTATAAATTAAAATAAAATTGTCCCAAAGTGAAAAAAGAACGTTTTTGCAAAAAGGAGTTATGTTAGTTTTATCTTATAATTAGGGATAAAACCTACCCCCTATACTTTCTGGAACTTAATTATATCTCTGGATGCAGGGCGATCTCCCGGACCTTAATATCTAACTTATATTTGCTGAACACCTTACTAACAACTCCAAATGTAAGAAAAACCCTTAAGAAAAAGAAAACACAAAAACCATATGTTAACCTTAAATGTACTTTAATCAAAACAAAAGAAAAACTTTATTTAATTTTTATGTATTGAAGACAAAACAAAAGGGTAAAAAAGAAAACTAATTTTAATTGAAGTTTATAACATATTCATTATAAAATTTTCGAATTTTTTAGGCAATATTACATTTATGATTGGTCTTTGACTCTTAAGACTCAGATCTTGTACTTGTATATGATTTACTGGTTCAACATCATTTCTTCCCCTTCTAAAATTTAGAATATAAGGTATTGTATTATTAACATTTGTTTTCAAATCTGTTGTACCCTCTTTCGAATTTAAAATATTATAAAACTAACAAAATTACAAAAATTAAGAAGATAAAACTGACGAAATTACAATTATATTTCAAATACAAAAACAAAGGAGAGACCTTAACTTCAATATAAAAAATTGAACTTAGATAATACTTAATAATGAGAACTTGGAACTTAATCAATTACTTTACTCTTGAAATATACCCTTTTGCAAAATCATCATTTTTATTCAGAAAATCCAATAATTATTTAATAATATTTTTATATATAAAAACTGAGAAAATTTTACGATCTATATAAAATTTAAAAATCAAATATATAAAAACTGAGAAAATTTCACGATCTATATAAAATATAACAATCCAAATTTTTATAAAATTTAATAATGATAAAATTTCAATAATAATTTTGCGAAAATTTAAGCAAATTTTATTAATTTTCAAATCCAAATTTTAATAATTATTTTAAAAAAAATCCTGAAAAAATTAATAATCATTTTTTTAAAGGAATCTTCACAAAAATTTTAATCAATATTAATCATATTTGAAAAATCAAGAGAAAAATTAATAATTAATGAAAAAATTTCATTTTACAAAATACAAAAAATGTCAGTAACAAATGATTGACATTATATAAAAAGTTATGACACCATTATTTAGAGGTATAATATTCGTTGACCTTTTTTTAATCTGGTCTAAATGTCTTTTTACAATTTTGTTTCCAGTATCTATTTCGTATGATAAATTCCCATCTTTACGTGTTACTGTACCTTTGTTCCTAATGTTTTCCTTGAAAGTTTTATTCCAAACTTTGTCACCTATCACGATATTTCGATTTGACGATATTTCGATTTGACGATATTTCGATTAAAATTCACTTTATCTTCTTGTGGTTTAATAAATCCCATCTGGTTTTTATAATTCTGAAAAACATCATTTCGCTTGGTATCTTGTTGGTTGTTGCGTTTGGTGTGTTATGATAATTAAATATTAACTTTTCTAATATCTAAGTCTATTTTATTATTACTTTCCTTTTCATACTCATGCTCATTTTCATTGATCTTATCATTCGCTCACACTGACCATTGGACTATTGGTGGTGAGGTGAGGTGCTGTGAGTATGCGTTCAATTCCATGATCTTCACAAAATTTCTCGAATAAGTCACTAGTAAAGTTAGTTCTATTATCACTCACTATTTTTTCAGGTATAGATTATCTGCATATTTATTACATGAATCACAATTTTTTACCTCCTGATCTATTTCAGCGTTTATACCAGGCCACCACAAATAATCTCTCGCTTATAATTTCGTTTTTCCAACACCTAGATGACCTTTCAGCAACTCTTGCAACATCTC